TTTTTTTTTTTTTTTTTTTGGTGTCCCTGGGCCTTGCAAGCACTAAAAAAAAAAGCCTATAGTCCTCTCTCCTACATTTAAGAGAGTCAGTTTCTACGTGACCAATATGGGATGTTGTCCACCTAATTGCTGAGGCTCCCTGTGAGAGGAATTGCCATAGTCTCTATTAGTGATCAGTTTTGTCCTCCAAAATGTTTTCTCACAGGTTGTGACATTCCCTCCACTGTTGTTGATGCTTTGACACGTAGTATGGTTATGATAAATATTTGGTGACCGATTAAATGAATCAAACAACAAAGTAGCCTTTAACAAAAGCTTATTCCCCAAATAAAACAAATAAGTAAGCTAATAGAAATTAGTGTAGCCAGAGTTTGTATGTGTTGTCTGAGCTGTCTGTTTCTTTGCCGAGAGCCTGTCCATGTAAGAGAATTCTGGGGCTGTTTCTGCTTTGGAGATCAGTGGCTGGTTTAGCCATTACTGGATGGTTTGGCCATCCCTATGTAATAGGTGATTCAGTGTAATGCTGTTGACCTAGCACTGGTTCCACAATGATAATATGCAAACAAGCAGGTCAGAATCACATTGGAGCTTATCGAACATCAGATTCCACTTGGCCAATTATTCTCAACTTCGGCATGCATCAGAACAACCTGGAAGCCTTAAAACATGGGTTGTTGGTCTTTGCCCCAAATTTCCAATTCATCCAGCCTCCTGTAGGGCTGGTGATGCTGATGCTTCAGGTCCCAGGACCACACTTTGAGGACCCCTGCTTCATTCCTAAATGTGAGGCTTGAGGATTTTAACAAGTTCTACTCGATTTTGGTGGGTCACCTTGTTTGTGAACTACTAAAATAGGATCTAAGCCATGAAAGTGTAGTAGGACAGGGATAAGGTTTGGTGTAAGGAAGGGGTTGCCTGTCAGGCCAGAGAAAGTCAAAGTAAATCTTAGTGAGAGATAATGGCTTTGAGACCTCACTATAACCACACCATCTGATTTTCTCCAGCAGCTTATCCCAGAAAATAATAACAATAATAAAAATTAAAATAGCAACAATGTATTGAGCATTCACCATGGGGGCCATATCCTGTTCTAAGCCATTTGCAGAAATTGTTTGATTTAATCCTTACAACAACAACCACTAGAGTTTGGTACTATTGTCGGCTTATTTTGCAAAAAAAAAACAAAAAACAAAAAACAAACAAAAAAAACACAGAGAAATTCAGTGACTTTCCCAAGATTCTACAATTAGAAAGTGGTGAAATTGGGCTCTGAACCTTGGTCCTCTGACTCTAGAGCCCCTGCCTTGTAACTATTGTGCAGATACCTCTGCTAATTCAGATTTTAAGCCAAGCTTATCATAATGACCTCAGGTCTCCCAGGCATGCACAGCCAACTCCTTCATTACAGTGACTAGGATGCAGTACGGTCTCTCCCTCTCTTTTCAACAACTTTATTTCATATGCCTTGAAATTCATTTCATTAAAGTGTATACTCCTGGGCGCCTGAGTGGCTCAGTGAGATAAGCATCTGACTCGGTTTCAGCTCAAATCATGATCTCATGGTTTGTGGGTTTGAGCCCTGCCTGAAGCTCTGCACTAGCAGTGTGGAGCCTGCTTGAGATTCTTTCTCTCTCTCCCTCACTTTCTGCCCCTCCTCTGCTTGCTCTCCATCCCTCTGTCTCGCAAAATAAATAAATAAGCATTTATAAGTAAATAAAATAAAAATAAAGTGTATACTCCAATGGTCTTTAATATATTCATAGATATATACAACCGTCAGCACAATTTGAGAACATTTTTATCACCTCACAAAGAAACTCTCATTCATTTATTCATTCATTCAACAAATATTTAGTAGATACCTACTCAGTAAATATTATAAAATAGAAGAGGATAAAAATGACAACAACCCTAGCCTTTATGGAGATTACATTCTAGAAGAGGGATCAAACCATGAACAAAATAAGTTGGTAACAGATATAGTATGTCAGGTGGTGCTAAGTGTTTAGGAGAAAAATCAATGAAAAATGGGGAAACAGGGAATGGAGATGGAGGGAAGGATGAGGAGCATGCCTTGAAATTTTAAATTGAGTAACCAGGGAAGGACTCACTGAGAGGCAGCACCTGAGTTAGGAGTGAAGGACTGACCGCTGTAAACACATGGGACAGGATTTTCCTGGGCAGAAGGATTAGCAAATGCAAGGATTCTGGGTCAGGGATGGGCCTGTCTGCTGGGGGACCAGCAGGGTGGCTCGGTCTGAGGATGACTATAGGGTCTTGGGTCAGAGATGGGACTTTTGGTGTTAGGGACAGATCTTGTAGGGTTGTGGGCCTCTGTATAGCCTCTGCGTTTCACTTAGAGTGTAGTTGACATGACTGGAGGGGTTTGAGTGGAGGAGTGACATGATCTGAAGTAACCTTTACATGGACCACTCTTCTAGTACCTGGTGAAGAGTAGGGACCCAGGAAAGGGCCATCCCAAAGCACAGTTCAGACGAATGGTAGTCCAAGGGGTTAGAAGTCCTGGGGCCCTCTGGCAGATGACTGCAGTTGACAAACAGGGTGAATATAACTCTGAGGACTAGGCAATCCAGCCATAATCATCTGGAGTTTCCCCAGAGTTCCAGCCCCTGTCAAGATTCCATTCCCTAAGGAGAGAGACATGGCAGAGTAAAAGGGAAACCCAATACTCATGGAAGAGTCCCAAAACAAGAATTAAGAGTGTGGATGAAAACAGAAGCCCAGACATACCAGAAAAGCTTTCAGGGAGTAGGTGACTGTACAAATGAGTGCAGAAATCAGAGGGAAGTGAAGCACAAACTCATCACAGGAGAAACACCTGAGCAGGAGGGACCATATCAAATCCCACTAGAGGAGGACACAGAGAGCTAGCTGCTCAAAAGATTTTCTCCCAGATGAGATGGTTGGCTGGGAACCAGGGAAGACCAAGCTGAGCTTATAGGTAGAAAAATCCCACCTGATGAGACACAGAGCAGGAGAGGGAGTGGAAATCCCACTGTGGGTGGCAATCCCACAACATGTGCTTCAACTCCCTTTGCCCTAAGAAGCAATGAGTGTGTCCATAATAAAAATTTTGAAGAGTTTTCAAAAAAATCTACATATGTGTCCAAGCCAGTCTGGCCCTTTCAGGCCAAATATACTAAAAAAACTCACCCCTTCACCTTTGTGACTGTGGGTCTGGGTTTCAGATAAAGTCCTGATGCCTTTGAACAAAACCTGCATCCTTTTGTTAAGAAGGCTAAGGCCCAAACACCTAGGATTTAGAACCACATGAAGTTTACTTTATGGCCATTTGGGGGTTTCCACAATTTATACTACATGCCTTGAGCTGGCATGTATCAGCTTCAATTGTTTCTTTCTTTCTTCATTTTCTATCACTCCAATTGTTTCAACCAGAAATTGTTCTGCCAGGAAATCTCTTGACCGAGAAGCACCCAGAAGTGCCAGTTCTATCTTTGGTTGTGGATCGGAGTTATGAACAGGCCTCTCAAGCTAAATTAGACAAACGGAAGTGTAATTAAAAAGCAAGTAGGCCCCAGGTAAAAAGGACTATTTGGGTGATGAGGAAAATTAAACAGGATATTTCATCTCCCAAAATTGCTTTGGGAATTAAATACAGATGTGTTTAGGTTAAGGATTATACATTTCAAATGCCAGCATCCACAGTTCAAGGATCAAGAAAGAAACCATTACATCAATAAACTCCCTGCCAAATGACCATTAAAAACTTAATATTTGCAAAGCACTCTGATAGACCCTGGAGATGGAGATGAAGAAGATGTGATCATCATACACATTCAGGGAGCAGGTACCACAAACAGTTACAATAGCATACGATAAATGAAATAATAAAGGTATCAGCAAGTTGATACAAAACCCCAGATGTGGGAACAATTCACGTAACTCCATAAATTGATAAATACCAACAATATTTTTGAGGTCACTATTCATAGGAGGTGTAAAATGCACACCAAACTTCATAGACTCAATAGTTTCAAAGAAATTTTTATACCTGTCCAAAGAAGAATCTTTATCCTTAAAACTCTGTATCCAAATAGCTCTGCAGCCTGGTTACCCAAGTGTGGTTCCCAAATCACCTGGGATCTTGCCTGTTAGACAAGCAGCGTCTCCTGCCCCACCCCAGACGTGCTAGATCACAATTTGCATTTTAATAGGTGTCCCAGGTGACTTGTTACACATTCAAATTAAAGAAGCTGGGTTCTAGAGCCATGGATCCTTATCTTTGCTCAAAATGTATTTTGGAATAAGGCTAAAGTTCCCTTTGGTTGAAATGGGAAATACAGCATGTGCTCCATTATTCACGGCTTGATCCTCAAGCTGGATGGAGATACCTATTGGTGCCAAAAGCACAGGGCCTGTGGAAATCACTCATGTGATTTCCTGCCTATATTGGCAACAG